GGTATTTGGCTCGATTAAGCGATTTTGAAGGGTGAGGGTCGTTTTTAATTTTCAAAATTTAAACAAACTTCTGTTAATTATAATATTACCTACATATGTTTAAATCTTTTCAGTTTAATCCATTTTATATGTTTAATGAATCCTAAGTGTGCCATGTCAATTTTTCTAAATTAAAAAAAAATTACAAAATATTTTCAAGGTCATTTTTTTAACAACAAAGCTACGGACACCGATTATTTTGCACCAAAAATGTGTATCGGCCTACGTGTACCCCTGACTCACACCAGCAGTCCAGACGTCTGATTTTTCTATAAATATTTTTCTAGTGAACGGCCGTCCATCAAATATGGATGACCGTTCACTTACATGGACTCCGTCCATATTATATGGAATGGGGTCCATTTACTACGAACGGGCGTTCCCATTTAAAGGACGCCCATCCATAAGTAAAATGGAATAAATTTTTTTTATAAAAATTAGGGACGACCGTTCATCCGTTATGGACGGCAGTCCCTTCATTTTGGACGGGTGCCCAAAATTTTGGACGGCCGTCCCTAAATTTTTTTTTTTTATTTTCATATTTTGGTTAAGGACGGGCGTCCGTCCAAAATGAAGGAACGGTCGTTCATAACGAATGAACGGCCGTCCCTAATTTTTATAAAAAAAATTTATTCTATTTTACTTATGGACGAATGCCCTTTAAATAGGAACGCCCGTCTATATAATATGGACGGGAGTCCATATAAGTGAACGATTGTCTACCGTTCACTAGAAAAATTAGGTATCTGGACTACTAGTGTGAGTCAGGGGTAAACGTAGGCCGCTGTACATTTTCGGTGCAAAATAATCTATGTCCGTAATTTTGTTGTTTTTTTAAATGCAAACTTGGGAGGTCTGGCTAGTTAAATTTCCTTAGATTATTAGTGACATATCACTCTGGTTATTCCATCTCTAAAACAAAACAAAATGCACCTCATATTCCGACTCAGACTGACGGCCATGCTTTTCCCCACACCAAAACACGTTTGCTCCTCATCTCCTCTGCCCAAACCCAAACCCGTTTGTTTATCTTCTTCTTCGCAATTCTCAGTATGGTCTGGTCTCCAGAACTGGAGAGATAATCCACTCAACGAGAACCGCTTTTGGGGACCCAATGGCCCCGAACCTTTGCAATACTCATCTACTTGTGATATCGATACTCATGCTTCAATTGGGTATGCTTCCTCTCTTGCAGAGCTTGGTGCTATTGTTCTTAACACCCCTGACCCTCTTTCCAAATCCCTTCTTTCTCACTTGGCTTTCTCTAAATGGCGCAATCTCAATTTGCCTATTGGAGTCTGTTCTCCGCCTTCTCGACCCGCTCGTCCTCCTAAACCTCAACTGGTTCGTATGTTTCTCTTTTCGTTCTACTTATATTGCTTCCTGCTTTGATGGGCATCTCGTATTTTGTTTATGTTCTCCTTTATGTGAACTTCAGGTTTCCCCAAAGGAAATTCCGTCTCCCAAAAACTCACCTTTGCCTCTTAATGCTTATATGCTTCACAACCTCGCTCATGTGGAGCTAAACGCTATTGATTTGGCATGGGATACCGTTGTTCGCTTTTCACCCAACTGTGATATTCTTGGGGAGGAATTTTTCGCCGACTTTGCTCATGTTGCTGACGACGAGAGCCGCCATTTCGCTTGGTGTTCACAGAGGCTTGCTGAGCTTGGTTTCAAGTGAGGATTTTTAATCTGTTGTTTTATACTTCATATATTATTGGTCCTTCTTACTGAGTCTAACCTTCGAAAAATCCTTCATGATTAGATATGGAGATGTGCCTGCTCATAATGTGCTTTGGAATCAGTGTGAGAAATCATCTGACAATGTTGCTGCACGTTTGGCCGTGATCCCCTTAGTCCAGGTAATCTTTTGCTCTTCAGTACATGCCCTTGCCTCTGTCATTTGTTCCATTTTGTGGATTAACTATGTGCAGAGTTCACTCAAGGTTATGAGAGTTCTACACATTAAATGAAGTGAAACAAATTTACATGATGAGTGTAACTTGGCGTGTGTGCTCTTCCTTGGAGATTCTTTATCGTTAAAATCAAAGTGGGAGGCTATGTTGGTTCCTGGATCAGCTAATGGGATGTTCACACTTTGGGAAAGAGAGGAGCAGACACATTGAGGGAACTCGTTGCCATTTTTGTGCATCTATAGACCTTGTGTGCTTTCTCTTCAAGAAATGGGTTTTGAAAGGGAGAGGAGAATTTCAACCTTCTTTTTCTACTCCGTTTCCAATGAGTTTTATTGTTCCCAAATTCTGATTCCATTTCATCTTTGTTTTCTTCTGAACTTTCTCTTTTTGCATCAAGTTCAGCATTGATTTACAAATATCATGTTGAGGGTTTTCCGAAAGTAACAGTCACTGCCTGCCAGAATGGGCTAGAACGATAGAGTGGTATGATATTCTTATTTAAAAAACAAACATTCAAATGATGCTACACTCATTCAAATACTCTCTAATGGTCTTTTTGCCTCAATTTGTACAACAAGAGCTTGGTGGAAGTCTATGTCTATCCTCTTTGGGGCTTTAGTGCATTGAACCTGTATGTGTACTTTCTCCTTTATTATACTGGATTGTGCAGAGATACTTATACATTTAAAGACCTTTCATAAGTGCAACTGTTTCTAGATTCTAGAGGGGCTTCTGCTCACTGAACTTGCATATGTACCACTTAAAATGAAAGGAAAAGGACACCATCTTTTCGTAGGCAGAATTAACTCCAGGCATTTCAAACGATTTGCTTCAATCCTAATATTTTCAGCTGCCCTTAGCTTTTCACACCACCAAAGCTTAATGCCAAACTAATTGTGGATTCCTAAATATTTCTTTTTTCTACTGTTAATCTGATTTGGTAAAAACTTACAGTTTACTTTCACTGTTCGTGTAGGAGGCTAGAGGACTTGATGCTGGGCCACGGTTAGTGCAAAAATTGATTGGGTTTGGAGATCATAGGACATCTAATATTGTCGCTAGAATCGCAGATGAGGAAGTTGCACATGTAGCAGTTGGTGTCTATTGGTTTCTTTCAGTCTGTCAGAAAATGGATCGGGCACCCTGTTCCACCTTTAAAGGTTTAGCGTCCCTTTTAAATTTCAGTGTAGTAGTTACTTGAACGGGTGTTAATTCATTGCAGGTTATGAAAAATATCAACCCTGATTATGGGTAATCATGCAGGCTTGTTGAAAGAGTACAATGTGGAGTTGAAAGGGCCCTTCAATTATTCAGCTCGGGATGAAGCTGGCATTCCTCGTGATTGGTAAGAAAATTATGTAATAATATGGCTGGAAAGAACCTTTAAGAGTTTTGAATTATAATGTTGTGGACAATTGTTTCCTTGGCTACAAAACAAAATGTGACTGAATTTTAAATTTGCATCGATATAAATAGTTGTTCTTGACAAGTTTCTTGCCTCATCTTTCGGCTAGGTATGATCCATCATCAGCTGTAAAACAGGACAAGAATCAAAAACAGGATGCAGATGACAAGCTTTCAGTGGTATGTTTAGCTAAAATTGCACATCCAATGCAACTAATTATAGAACTCTTAACCAACAAAGGATGTTCTAAAAGACCAACTTTTGTTACAGGTTTATGAGAGGCTTGCTTCTATCATCTCCATGGAAAGTGAAAACTCAAGTTTGAATAGCCCACCTAGATGATGCTTAATGATACAAGCACTTTCTCACTCAAAAGTATTTTTAGTAAGCAGGTTGTCTGAAGCAACAAGTGCTAGGTACTTGTTTTACCAATTTGATTCTTCAGCACGATGATGATTGGTAGTTTAGGATGCCATATGACTCCAAGTGCCTGGTTGCATGTTCCATCTCATGTGTTTGCTGTTCAAACATTTTGAACGTCTGGTGCAGCCGCATTCAAAGGTCAACTGATCTGGTGGCGCTATTTTTGTTTCATTTGTATGATGAAACTGTTTATTTGATAGTAACAGTGTATATAATACCCAAAAAAAATCCTCGTTTCTCAGCCTATGTACTCATATAAGAATCTATAAAGATTTTGATGATTCATCGAAGGAACATAGCTGGAATGGTTAAAAATTGCCTTAGTGTTCCTAGAGTCGGTACTTGATAGCTGTCAGTTTTATGGTTTGGCATATGGGTTGAATGGATACAGATGATTTCGTTCTCAGTAGTCAGTAGATGAGAACTTATTGGTCCATGGCTGAGAAAAGCAATTTTTTGAAATGACGGATGAGCAAGCCTCCACTAGATAGAATCAAAGAAATGGTTGTCATTCAATAAAAAATACATTATAATTAGAAAGAAAGTAAAGCAGATATGAATTGGGTGCTTGAATGGTGAGCTGACGAATCTTTAAGACAGCTCGAAGAGCATATATGCCAATATACAAAATGAAAATAATGTAACCACCTTGGCAAATCATGTGTTTTCTACTTCTTCATGCAAATACTTGAAGCATCCATGTAAATAATAACCGGAAAAGGCTTTTACAACCAATCTACTGAAATTTTAACCTTCTCCATGTCCATATTTCAGCTTCTTTTGATAAAATGTAAATTGAGCTTGCTTGTGGATTTGGAAGCGAAAATTCTAAGGTTTTTCTCCAATGTTCACATAATAAATTACAAGATAACTCATCACGTTTTGAGCAATGATGCTAAGTGACCTTACCCAAATGTGATTTTTTGTTTTAAAAAAAAAAAAAATATGCAGTTTTTTATCAGTCGAGATAGAAAAAGAGGAGAGAGAAAGCTTCTTATAGAAAGAATTTTTTTTTTTTTTTTCAGTTAAAGATAAAACATATTAACATTAGCACTTTCTGTGAAAAAGAGAAGATGAAAAATGAAGCATAAGCTCAAAAGCAAATAATCCTTCAAGGGTTGAACTAATTTAAGACATATAAAAGAATTATCAGTAAATAAGAAGTAAAACATAATGTTAATTAATATAAAGATGCCACTGCCATCTTACCTTTTATAGAAGAAGCTTTCGGGTGAGGTGGTTTTGGTTGGTTCTACTTGTGTCAATTTGACCCTTTGTTGCTTTGCAGAAAAGTTAGAGAAAACGTGTGTATCTCTCTCTTCTTCTTTAGCAATCGCAATAGCATCCTCCTCCATAAACAGTATATACTTTAACCATATCATTTTCATCGCTAACTTCTCCATCAACCTACAAACAAACTAGAAATCATGTGCTGTGGAGATGGTGATTGTAGGCCATTGGGCTTTCTCTTGGGCCTTCCCTTTGCCTTTCTCTCCCTCCTCATCTCAATCGTCGGCGTCGTCGTTTGGATCGTGGGGTCAGTTTTCTTTCTCTCTTGGTCGTTTCTCTTTAATTTCTACAAGTTTTAGTTCTACTTTTTCCATTTTAATTCATTTTATTCTTCTGGGTACCTAATTCATTTTGGCTTCAAAACTCTTTACCGTTTTAAGAGATTTTCTGCTTCTGAGTTATCAAATTTCTTGATTTTCTTGTGGCATTTGTCAGTGTGTCTCAATTTACTCTACTGTGACGTGGTTACATAAGATTTAGATATTCTTTTGTCACTTGCCCATTTATTGGGGATGATTTGGTTTAAAACTAATTGATGATAAATTGGTAATTGGGCAGGTTGTTGTTGACTTGCATATGTCCATGTTGTTTGTGCGTTACAGTAATAGTGGAACTTGCTCTTGAGTTGATCAAAGCTCCTATCCATGTAATGGAATGGTTCACTTCGCAAATCCCTTGCTAATTCCATTTTTTATGCTACCTACTCCCTTCTGTGTTGTGTTCTTATTCCCTCTGGTTTTTGGTTGTGTATAAAGATATGTTCTTTTTTCTCTTATTACTTTGGTAATATTGAGGTATAATTCCTGTGTCTTGATCTACCTTTGCAGACATGGATGATACTCTGTTTGATTTTTGTTGATGTGAATTATTATCAATTTCTTTTCCATGTTCGTTTATGATAATTTTTAGATTTCACTAAATTGAAGTTCATCTGGACAATTGAGTAGGGTGCTATTCTCTTAAATTTTTGGAATTATCCAAATGATTTGACGCGGGCATACACATATAAAGACATTTTATTTATCAAGGAACCAGCAGTACAGGCTGAGTGTCTTCTCTTTTTTATGGTTTCGTAAAGACTGCTGAGAATGTATGAAGTTGATTGGAAAACAAACTTCATTGTGGTAAGGATTTATTTGGTAAAAGCAAATGGTAGATAGAGCCATAGAGGTCAAAGTTAGATATGACTAAGTGAACTACATGCCTTAAACATGAAGAGTAGGTAGGGGAAAAATAATAAATTATTCACAACTATGGTCTTAATTCATCTGTGTCTTTATGTGGTGAAATTATGTATCTATGCCACCATTTCAAGGGAGGAAGTGAATATATATATATATATATATAAAGTAGGTAGCTATGGTCAAAACCTTGCTTAAATTTCATTATCCAATTCTCTGGTGAGACATCGAGATTGGGAACCCCTTAGACTAGTCCTCTTGGCCTTTTCCAGTTTGTGCATGAAATAAGGATACAACCTGTGGAATTGTGCAAAATAGGCATTAATAATACCAGGTTGGTGTAAATCACGTTTTATTATCACACCAAACAGAAAGCTTTACCTGCCATTGGCATAACTCATAACTCTGTTCAAACGAAAGGCAGAATCCTTTAAACAGGATGGGTAGAATACAGCCAAGGAGTAACGTCTCCTTTGAAAGGATTCACAACAATACTAGTTTCCATCTATTATCTATAAATTTTGTTGTGTATTTTTCCTAAAATTCACGTTGAAATTTTTTAAAGTCTGGTATTTTCCTGAGTCAAGTGTCAACCGCTCTTTTAGCTTTTCTTAAGGATTTACATTCCAGTTGTTTTCTATATTGTAGCTAACACTTTTGATTTCTTATTATCCTTTTATTTTATCACAAGCATTTACATTTCAAAGTCCTTTAAGGAGTACCATGATTTGTGATTATGTTTTTTATTTTTTAATTGTTGTTATCTAAAGTCAAACTAGCAAGTTTTTAATGATATGCCCAGAGATAATTGCATTTACCCTTTTGAGGTGTGGGTCTACCATGTCCATATCCTGTAGTTTAAATAAACTACTAGATAAACTCCCCTATTCTAGCATACCTTAACCCACATATTGGTAGAATGAGTACTTTACACGTACACATAAGGGTAGAAATGCTAATTTACTCATCCCTACGTAAAAAAAAAAAAAAATTGAGGAAAACCACCATTGGGTGGTCTGATGTAAAATAGCAAAAGGAGGTTCCATGGGTTATTGAGTTCGAGTTCCCGTAGGCACTAATAGGGGTGATCACTGAGGCTTTTATCCGACTGGCAGTTCCAAGGCCTTGAGGGATTAGTTAAGATACGAGCAAGTTAGCTCGGACACCCCAATGATCTAAATAAAATTAAAAAAAATAAAAAATTGAGGGAAGGCATTTCTTAGGGTTTGAAAAGACAAGGTCTTGACCCTAGTAGATGTAAAGCTCAAGGGGAATAAGTGTCTCTCATACATCCTTCACTTGGGATTAAGAATAATTCTCATTTCTCTCAATGCAATTTCCTTAAGATAGAATATCATGACAACCTCTTACATCCGAGAAACATTCATTTGTCTCCCAAAAGAGACGTCGGATATCTCAAATAATAGTTCATCAACATAATTTATGGAGATGTTTGGCCAAAGAATATGTCCAGCAACAACTTTTGATAATTAACCCCCTGTTTGGTACACTTTTCAAATCTTATCCTATCCTATTGTAAAGAGTAAAAACGCGTTTATTTCTCAATTCAAAATCTAATCATATTCTATTCAACTCAAAACATACAATTACATTCAATTCACAATAAAAGTTTATAAATTAACAAAAACACTTTCACCTACTCAAGCCATTGTTGGTCGCTAGCAACCATCGCCAGTCGCTGCCACTGTCACCTTCGACGCTAGAATGATGCATGATCGATCGAATTTGGCCAATCGTGCGTCGATTTGGTCGTTTCCAACCAGATCTATCTGGCCGTTGACGACTGTCATATCTGTCTGGCAATCGACGACGGCTAGATTTTGGCCGTTAATGATGGCCAAAGAAGTCAAATCAGCGCACGACTGGTCAGATCCAACCGGTTGTACGTCATTCTGACGACTGTCGGCTAGAGCCGTCTCTAGAACATTTGTGACCCTAGGCAGAAGTTACTTTGGGGCCCTCTAATAATATAAGCATTATTAAAAAAAATATTTCATTTTTTTTTTTTTGACATTTTGAGATGAAAAATCACTAAGAGAGGTGAACAACAATCAGCATGCTAACAAGGTTAGGTTGGTGGGGGGTATTGGAGAGTAGATGTTGGAGAAGTGATGGGTGGTGAAATGGGTGATTTCCAATGCCAAGATTGACAAGAAAAGGCTTGAGAAGTCACGGCCCAAAAGGTGTCGATGGCCGGCGATTGGCAGAGTAAACGGATAAGGTATGATAGGGGTTTTGGTGAGAAGGTTGAGGGGAGGAAGATGGTGGTGTCGGGGAAGGCCAACAATGTCGGGTACATGCCAAAAAGGCTGGAAATGGCTGCCGTGTGGTGGAGTTGGGTTGCGAGATTCATCAAAAATTAGTCAAATCGAGGGCTATCAAGGTTGGGAAATGATAAAATGATGATTTCGGTCGATTTTGGTGAGAAAATCGATCGAAACCAAAATTGACCAAAATCAACTCCAAACCACTGACGGCGGAAGAGGGCTGGAGATGATTTATGTGAATGTCAAATTTTGGGATTGAATCGGGGGTGAGTAAATTGAGATATGTAAATAACTATTTTAGTCTTCCATTGTTAAAAGAGATTTAATGTGTTAATTTATGGGTATAAACTATAATATATAAAACTAGAGGTATAAATTTGTTATTTTGTTAAACTTTGGGTGGGAATATATGTAAAAAGTTTATAATAAATTTGGGCTTTTTTAACTTTTTTTGGGGCGCCCCTTGGCTTAGATAAGAAATTATAAACCATTTTCATTTTTGTAAGATATTCAAAAAAAAAAAAAAAAATTATAAAAAATTTGGGCCCCCATTTTTTTGGGGCCCTAGGCAGGTGCCTCACCTGCCTACCCCTTAAGCCGGCCCTGCGTGTCGGCCATCGTCTGACGATGGTGGTCGACTGTCGATAGTCAATTGTGTAGATATGGTTGTTTTTGTTAATTTATAAACTTTTATTGTGAAATGAGAGGAGGGGAATTAAAAAACAATCTAAATATTTTCAAAAAATGTATCAAACACATTCTTCATAATACTATCATATTTGATTTAATCATATCATATCTTATTCATAATAGTTGTTTAGAATATCATATTTCAGATAATGTGCGAAATAGGCCCTAATACTGTCATCCGAAGTGCAGGACTTCAGCATGCATATATATGATATGAAGAAAGAGCAAAATGCGGAATTAATGGTTGGACTTAAAGACGCAGTGAGCAATAACTCAGCGTCTGAAGGATGTGGAATCATAAAAAATTAAAAATTATAGGACTCTATAATAGCTTCGGTGAGGGCAATTCGTCTGCAAACTGCAATTACAGCTTTCCGAGAGAGCATCCTTGATTCATCAAATATTCGATTGAGGATTTTACCCATAAATTATAGAATGGTATAATTGGATGGCCTGAGTGTTAATATTCGTCTCACATTTCTTCCGGTCCATATATGTCAAATTTGCTATTCAAAAAGAGAAAAATTAACATGTTTTCTTTTTCTGTTCATCGATTAGTTAATGTTAACATTTTCTCTAATGCGTTTCTTTGTCACAGTAATTCATAAATCAACCTCCTTTAGTTAAATAATGATGAAATATATATATCTCTTTTAAAGTTTGCCATAATTACGCAGAATATTGGTCTATTATTTCGTTGACAACTTTGTAAAAAAATAAAATTATGGATATATATGGAGGTTTCTACATATAATATAAGATGTTTTAATAATTTAAAAGGAGATTTTTTTAATAAATTTCATGTAAAAATTAATGAATATCTTTGATAAATTTTGAAAGACCAGAAAGTTCTAGAATGCCAAAATAATAGCCAAAGATTTTCTTTCTTTCTTTTGCCATTCAGAATCTGATATTAATTTTCTTTCTTGTATTCATAATTACCCCATATAAGTTTTTATCCTGGAGCAGAATAAGACTGTCTGTGGTCCTCTCTTTCCTATATTATGTCTGAAATGTAGTGGAGTGAGCATCCTTGTCTCACGTTTCAAGATTCATCGAAATAAACTTTTAGCTATTGAATTATGGAAATGGAGTGACTACATACATGTAGTCATTCTTACGTCTTGATATAAAATTTAGTCAGGACCATATCTAATCATGTAAACAGATTCTGGATTGGTTCTTTTGGTTTTAATATGGACTGCCTAAAATATTCCTGCGGAATACTTATTGACGGCTATTGGATTACAAAGGACATCATACACCCATCAGATTTTGATAATATAAATGAGTATCCTTCCAGTTTGCGAATTTGTGTATAAACAGATAAATTATTATAACGCTCCTGTCTTTAGGTTACTTTTCGACAACTCAAAGCTCATTGTCATCTTCGTGATCTTTCAGTATCCAAGAGCCATCATCCTCTTGAACCATCCCCTTATTGTGCAGGCACCACCAAGAAACAGGCACCAAATACTCATCCTTCACAGCATCTAAATCTTTATTCACAAGCGCGATGTCCCGCTTAACTTCCAAATGAAACCCTCCCTTTTTCCCTTGAGTTCCAGCAACTCCATGGAGATACGGCTCAAGGTTATGACAACTTTTGAGGTCTCCAGGAAATTTCAAGTACTCTGACTTATGGGTGTTGATCACAAGCTCTTCTCCAACCGCGGTGTATCCTTTGATCATGGGATAATGGGGTACGATATCAGGTTCATTTTTCACACGTAAAATGTGAAGATCTTCCTTAGACTCCAAGATCTTTCGGAAGCCAATATCTCCAACAAGTGGGCCGGCAAAACAGAACGCCGTAACAGGGCAGTGCTTGTCAGGTTCATTCTTCGGCTTGTTGAGCCCATTGGCAACAATATCAGCTGCACTTAAATTTCCAAGAGATGCACCCAAACTGTGGCCAGTTATCGTGATGCTGATTTCCTCGCCCTTAAATTTTTCCACCAGTCGCTTCACCTCAGCAGAAACCTGTTCTCTAGCACTAGTTACATCATAAGCAGATCGTGGATCACTTGAAGTATACATAGATAACCAACCTCTATGAACTTTAGCATCAGTAGCTTCCCCGAATATAGGAGAAGCCGACACCAAAGGGAAATCAAAATCGTCAATCCATTCATATGCTTGGATCGTTCCTCGCCATGCAATTACAATGTCCCTCCTACCCAACAAAGCCTTTCCTTCGTCAGTAGCTACGGCTATATATCCGATCCAGTTTGACTCCTTGTGCAAAGATTCAGTCGATAATGACTTCAGAATAAATGATTCAGGAACTGGAATCTGAGAAGTAGCGTAAAAGTATTTAGTGGCTTTGTACTTGAATGGATTGCCTTTAACTAAACCCACCCTGGAGAACAAATTTTTCCTTGCATATCGACTATCCGCCGTATATTTGGATGCCTTTTCAGCGATGAAGGAATCATAGGTTGCCTGGGCCATTTCACCATAGTGAATAATATAGCGGCGGAGGTCAATATCTAGAGGATCCAAGAGGTTCTTCCAATTATCCTGGCCGCTAAGCAACCGCCATCTTTTGGCTATGTTTCCTATCATCTACTAGAAAACAGAACAAACGAGGAATCGTGTTTTACTGAATTCTTTTTAACGCTATAAATAAGTGCTTGTCCCTGGTAAAGCTATTATTTTCCATACAAAGATTGTTGCCGGATATCAGTAGTAGTTCAAGCAAAATTGTAAGCTAACAGAAGTCTAAGTTAGAGCTATTTTGGAACGCAATTAAGCCCTCTAATCTATACAACCACAAAAGCATGTCCATTTAATATTAAAAATAATGAATTCACGCAGGAATTGGAATTCATGCTTTGCCCCACTAATTTAAACAATCACAAAAGCATGTCCAACTGAAACTAAACTAATTAAGGAATGAGGACTCTAGAGAGAGCTAGCTTCAGCCTTCAGCAATAACATTAACGTATATACTTCATAGCCATCAACAAATTCCAGAAATAAGGCTTTTATTTTATCATATTTTTTACCTACTTCCCTTTATCCTAAACATCAAACGAAAATCATGATAGGATTACAATGATGACAACATAAATACAAAGACATAATCAAACTGATTACAGATTATTATTCGAAACACCAAATTAAAAACAAAACCAGCTATACAAACAGTTCTACCAACTTTCATCCTTCACTTCTGCACATTAACACACCCATAATTAGTTGATAAGAGCCGAAGCAAAATCTCTCCTTCAGTCTTGTCAACGCTCAAAACATTTATTCAAACTCTCCCTGGTCATACTAAACTTCATAAATTCGCCACTCAATTTGTCTGTCCACGTCGAGCCTCTCCTTGCTGTGTTTCCTCATATTGGCTCGACTCGAAACCAAGTATATTATCGTCAGTCTCGCCGCTCCCAATGACGATGTCTTTTGTTGTTTGGGCAATTTCAACTACAGTTTCGCCAATGGCCTTGAGCACTCCTCCACGGTTCTCTTCTCTTCCGTACTCTGCGCCTGAATTTTCTCGGTTTCCTTGTTCTTGGCCTCCTTCAAAGGTTTCTTCTTGTTCGCATTCTGTACCTTCCGTTTCTCGCTGTCCTTGTTGTTGGCCTCCTTGAAAGGTTTCCTCTCGTCCGTATTCTGAGCCTTCCTTTCCTCGTTTTTCTTGTTCTTGGCCTCCTTGAAAGGTTTCCTGGATGTTGCTTCCCGTTTGTCTGGCGACGTCTTGCAACTTCTCTTGTGCTTTTTGTGTGTAGGACTTTCGTTCTCCTTCGTTATCACCTCCTTGGTGAGTCCACTCGGTGTCCTCAAACAGTAATTCAACAACAATGTCAGCATCAGAGTAAATAAAAATAATATTGGAAGTAATCAAACATTTCTCATCTTATGTCCAAACACAATTTTAAATGTTGCATTCATGTACTACTAAATTCAAATTTGTTGTTGAAGTAGGAAATCAAGTTAATATATTGAGTAAACATTGAATATTTCCCCTAATCGTTACTTCATGGCATAATAGAAAAAGGGACTGGGGTCTGATATAAGTATAACTACTAGTTGGTGTTTTCTAATGAAGCCCAATTAAATGTATTATATTACCATTTACCCAAAAAATAAAAATAAAAATTATATGCATTTCCAATCGGTAATCTCCTTTTCCTTTTTTTTCTTCATTCTTTAACCGAATCTATGCAGTATCTAAATTAATATTTTCTTTCACTTGCTACACCTCACGAGTCATGCAAGCTCATACTGGTAGTATAGTCATGAACAGTTACAGATAGGAATAGGACAAGGAAAAACTAAGCACAAATTGTAAAACATATAATTGATATTGATAGAAAAATATACCTGCTGTCTTCCAGAAGACCTCTTAGCCTCAAGTTCTCTTTCTGCTTCTTCCTTCTTCCTAGCGGTATATTCTTTCATAGTCTCACCAGTAGAGACAGCTACTTCTTTAGCAGCACCCAGCGGTTTGGTCACTATCTCAGCTGCCTTGTGACCAGCATACCCTGCAACTCCTTGAACAGCCCTCACGGCCGCCTTTGTCCCTTCCACGGCTTTCTCAGTCGTGTACTGTGCTACCTTTGCCACAGCAGCCGTCCCTTCCACTGCCTTCTCAGTTGTGTAATGCGCGGTGCTCCAGCCTGCCACTACAGCCTTGTCCTTCACGTCTTCAGCCACTTTCCCTGCATACTCAGGAGCCCCTTTATCACTGTCTACCGTCGTATCTTTTACAGCCGCAGCCTTCTCTCCTGTGTAACTTGCAGCCCTCTTGGTAGTATCAACTGCCGTTTCTTTTGCCTCCGTGACCTTTTCTAGTGCATAGTCTTTGGCTTGTTCTGCTTTCGGAACGGTGTATTCCTTGGCAGTTTTGCCTGCATTGTAGAGGGTCTCTTTCGCAGCCTCATAACCTTGTTGACCCTTCTCTAGAGCTGTGTCCCTGGCCTGGCTGCCTTTCTCTGCAACGAGCTGTGATGTTTTCTGAGCGCCCTGAAACACAGTGTCCTTTGCTTGAGATCCCTTCTCAGCGGCATATTCAGTTGCCGAACTAAGTTTATGCCTGGTCTCTTCTTTTGCCTGATTGTATCGCTCCTCTGCAGCCCTTAAAGCCTCCGCTGAATTCTGCTGCGCTGTTCCTCTGGCCTTTGTTATTTGTTCGAGAGAAGGTGGTTGTTGTTTCTCGCGGCTCTCCACTTGGCCTTGCATTTGTCTCCCCATTTCCTTCTCCTGGCCTTGGCCTTGCACTTGCCTGCCCTTTTCCTTCTCCTGGCCTTGGCCCCCGGCTTGGCATTGCATCTGCCTCCCCATTTCCTTCTCCTGGCGGTGGCCCTCCGCATGGCCTTGCAATTGCGTGCCCCTTTCTCTCTCCTGGCGGTGGCCCTCCGCTTGGCCTTGCATTTTTCTCCCCATTTGTCTCTCCTGGCGTCCCCGGGCTTGGCCTTGCATTTGTCTGCCCATTTCTTTCTCCTGTCTTCCCCCGGCTTGCCCTTGCATTTGTCCGCCTCTTTCTTCACCGCTCATATCAAATTTCCCCACAGCATGAAGCCCTATTGTCTTCTCATGCTCTCCTCTCCCTGATCTTTTATCTTCTGCCTGTTTCTCACCAGCCATATTTGCTTTCCTTGCTTGATCAGCATACGAATCTTTATCTCGATCTTTTTCATGCTCTCTACCCTTTTCTCTATTGACATCCCTATTAAGAGACTCGATCTTATGAGAGCCTAACTCGTGGGATTCTCTTGCTTTCCACCGTGCAGTTACTTCACCAGTTGTATTACCACTCCTGGCTCCACTATCATGTGACAGCTCTTTCCCGCTCTCATGAGGAGTTTCTGAATCCTTTGCTATCACAGTCAAAGACTCGAAGTGACTTGTGATTTTAGGGACTGTGTCATTCTCTATGTGAATTTCACGCTTATGGGTAGTATTGTCTCTGCGAACTTGCTCAGACGACATTTGTATCTCTCAGATTGTGTATTCTCTCACAAATATTTTCTAACGGTACTTTTTTGTTGTTTCTTTGCTGGGCTTGATGAGTTGGAGAAGATGATTGATTTAAAAAGGTGGTAATGGCGGTCGAAGAAAATGAACGTGTATGCAGGGTGTTTGACATGTGTTGACTGCACCTATGCAACGTGTCAGATTCGTGGAGCCTAAAGTGATGAGTCACCTATCAGTCTGTTTCATGTGCAAACGTGTCACACAGTGGAGGGCCGCATTGCCGATAAGCTACACTTTAAGGATTTACTGGAACTAGCAATGTGTCAAGTAAGTAGTGCTCTGTTCCAGAGCAGGCAGTTCATCATAACGGGCCCAGACGTGTATTTGGGGAGTCTACTAAGAGAACGTTAAGAAAATAATTGACTGGAACCAGGTTTGAATAACTCAATAAGGCATTGTAGAAATGTGATGGACCTAAACTGAGGTTTGGCCCATGCGGCACAGCCCAAAAAAGACCTACGTGTTAAATGTCAATTTTCTTTCCATTATGTATTATGTTTTTCAAAAAATCAAATGATTCATATGAGAAGGTCATAATACAATATTTTTATATGTCAATACTATATTATTTTGATATGAATCTTCAAAATTGATGTAAGGGTCATAATGGGTATTAGAGTAACAGACCTCAAATTATAGAAAGTTTAGAAACAGTAAAAGCCGATTATCAATAAATAAAGAGCTTTAAATTGTCGAGTTGATGGATTGAACTTCTCAAAATCGAGGTTTTTCTTGGACTTTTAAACACCAAAAGAGGGTATCTTTTGACAAATGAGGTCTTCCTCTGTAAGTTTCGATGGATTTGACCTGTATGTACCCCGCTGAAAGATGGTAAATTTCAATAGTTCTGATCAACCCAGTTCAGACATTTGGAGGATTGCCAATCTACCATTAGTTTGCGCTCTAAGCTAGAGTTGGTTGATAATTTCCTATGCGTGACCAAATTCCGAATTCTCTATCTCAGATTGGCTGGTCCCAGAGGCCAGAGCCTTAACCCAAACTTAGGACAGGCACTGTCGCTAGTCACTTGTAGCCCCACAATCCTATAACCAATTGCATATGCAACCCCCCATTTCTGATTCAAACATAATAATGCAAATTTTAACATAATGTCCTCTTAATAAATGACAGTAAAAGAATTGAATATGCAAGTGCCTATTTCTGATTTCAAACATAATGATGCAAGTTTCTATATTAAGGTTCTCTTATTAAATGATAGTAAAAGAATGAGAATTCTTTTATCCAGTTTCATCATTGAAAATTTGAAATCATTAAACATTACATAATTATTGTTGATTGCGCGTAACTACAAGCTTTTGTAAATTTGAAGGCATTAAATATAGTCCATTCTTTTTCATGGTAACAGAGTTTATGCCTATCAAATAATTAACTTCATACAAATTTGCAGAGCGAGATGCTCAATGTAATTAAATACTAACAACTCCTGAGCTAGCCTTTGAATTTCAAGGGAATGATCTTCAATTCAGGCAACTAATTGTGACCAAATAATCAATCTAAATTTACAATCGAAGCATCATCCCTCTTATTCCCCACTTTGACAATAAAAAATGGAAAGAAATTTCCAGGCGTCTGGAAAACAATAGATTTTTTTTTTTTTTTTTTTTTTTTTTTACCATCGAAAACTTCAACTAAAATAGTGCTGCATACAGGAGCTGGTTCCAAGTATCTGGCAAACCAGGAAGACACCAATGGCTGCAATCAGTACCACTATGTTCGCCACTGTATCCTGATGGGTGAGCATCCTTTCTCAACTGAGAGAGCCCTGTAACGTCAAGTAAATACACTGGTTTCTTGAGCCTACTGAATACTTTGTTCACAACGACCCAGCCCATTGGTATCCCAGCAGGGTACCGTGACCCAAGGAATGGTTGGGTCTGCCCTGAGCATGATTGTGATGGTTGGTTCCAGTCCTTGCCCCTATTAAAGACATACAAAATAATAAATAAGAAGATAAAAGTTGGAGCAGTGAATGAGATGAAATTAATTACAAGTGTTTGCTTACTCGTAATGAGTGGGAGAAATTCCCTGGAAAAAGACCTTGGTTTTAGAAGGATCAACATTACGGTTGACCCATCTGGCCCATGTGGTTAGCCCCTTGTAATATGCCACCAGCCGGTTCATATCTTTGTGCCATTTGTTTCCCTCTTGCATATAGTCCCAACTGCATTAGATTTACAGGTCACACTACATTAATTAGAATTCTCTGGTTTTTTTTCCTTTCTGAAAAATGAGGTAATTAAAAAGTTTAAACGTACGGTTGGGACCTTCCAGAGTGAGTCCACCAATGCCAAGTGTTGAAGATGAGCATGTCCATGCCTCTCCACGCATTGCCACTCCTTATTGAATCAAGCTTCAACACTCTTCCCCCCTTTTCGCTCACAAGGTCCACGAGATATGGTGATCGATATAGCATTATCTTCAGACCATAGTCCTGCAAGAATTAAAATACAAATATTAATCAAATGAGTTTATCAATCTCAATATCACGTTTTACAGTAAAGAATTTTAAAATATATAAATTTATCAATAATAGGTCAGATTATCGACTCTGCTTCTATATTGTCATTACTTGTAATGTGACAAGTGGTCCTCTGGTATGCCCTGTATCTAATAATCAACAACTTTTTCAGAAGAGAGTTAAATACAGGAAGATTTCTAAAGAGCCACCAAAAAAAGATTTTCAAGTTGCAAATCAAACACATAGAAAAGTTAAATTTCTTCTCAACTAAATTCTCAAAGTAATGGAATACGTTTAAATTTGAGGTATGATAGGTAAATAATTCCATTTCCATGGTAACAATTGTTAGTAAAATTTAAACTGTGATATTATATTATGGTGTTACCGGTGTACATAACTGACCCAACTTGATTGCTTAATTAAGATGTCTTTATTTTAAAATTGTACGACAAGATGCGCAAGTACAATTCTATCCAATTAAAATTATATTTCAGAAACAATAAATAACTTAAACAAAAGCAAATTTAGCTCAAACTCTAATAACTAGGAATTTGTACTCTTGTTATAGAGTTTCACCATTTGGAAGTACTTTTTCCGGAAGTATTTTGGTTTTGGGCAAAAGTAATTGATGGTGCTGAATTTTTTTTTAAAAAAAAAAAAGATTTAACAAATATTTATATAGTTTTGAATTTTTTTTTTTAATGTCTCAATTAAACACCACCAAATAAAAAAGATGGTCAAATTATTTTTGAGAAACAATCTAAAATTATATTTCAAAAAAAAAAAGTCGTGTCTAAAAATATTTTTGAAATGTTTCCAGAAAAAAAAAAGTTCTCCTAAAAGCAATGTACATACTTTTTGGCAATCCAAAAAGGAGAAATTGTTTTTTGCTTAATTTCAGGACTCCAAGTAAATATTGTTTATTTTTTTATCCTGTTGACACGTTTTCAAGAAATAGACAAAAAAGACAGCACTTCAAGGATATGGTTCTATACTGTTCCTTGGTTTAAATTTCAAAAACAAAAACACTTATTATTACCGCATAAAAATAACGACCTGACATGTCCCCGGCAAATACAAAAGAAAAGCCTAACCACCACCAATCACGCTCTTCTTTTTATGCGTATACTCCACACACTTCAAGCTTATTAACCATTATTAGTTTGGAATTAAAAGAAATTGAATTCAAACAATAGAGCTTTAACTTCTGTAAATTAAAATTAAAATTTAAAAAAAAAAAAAAAAAGCTAGCTACAGAGAAAATGACAGCACACAGGTCATGCATGCACCGCAAAAGCAATCATAATTGCCTATTTGAACCCAAAAAAGTGAGAGAAAACAAGATGATTAAGCTGAAAATTAAAGGATAATTAATTAATTAAACCAACCTCAAATGTCACCGCAGATAGACCGTTTGTTCTTATGACTGAGTACTTAGTATTGGGCACCCATGCGTGAATCATACAGGCTAACGATTCCCACTGGTTCAAACTCAGTGAGTCACCCACAAACATGATCTTCTTCCCTCTCCATTTCTCCAGGAAATACAAGCCATTAAACCTGCAACATTTTCATTATAGCTCAGTACTTTAATCAACAAACCAACAGCACAAATAACATATCCGAAATTTAAAAAATGCATGAACCAATGATACCTGGGAATGTTACAAGAAAAGGGCTGCCATCTGTATTTGAGGTAAGTGTTATCGGGTCGACCATATTTTTGACAGTTGAATTGTGGATCTATGAAGGGGCAGCTGGAAGGGCTGTAGAGAGGATACGAAGAGTCATAAACCCACTTTCCCCTGAAAAAATTGCAGTTACCGGCAAGTTCTCTGGCTGTGGAACTGGTGTTATCAATAGTATTGGTGAAGGCATTGACGTCCTCAGCTTCTGATGTGTGGTGAAATATCAATAACAATATCAGAGAGAGAAACCTGACATTGAATAGAAACCCCATCTCGGGTTTCGATCCACAATTTGTTTGAAGAAAAAGACGAAGAGTACTGAAGAAAAGCTGTCTGTGACTGGTGATTATATACTGAGAGAGAGGAGAGAGATTTGTTTTCACATGGAATTTGACGCACAGGATGAGAGTAGTTTATTGGTTTGAGTTTTATTTTTTTATTTTTTTTTTTGTTGGATTCTTTTAACTGTGGCATGTGGGATTTAATCCAAGCCCTTACTTTGAAATTTAGGAATCATGATGATTTTGATTCTAAAATAAGGGGAAACATTTTCCCTACCAAGAAAGATAAAAATTATATTATGCTATTAAAGTTTCTTTTTTTTCCGGTAGGTGATTCAAACCTTTAAAGGCTTTGCTTTCTTTTCTTCAAGAACTTTTGTAGCTGATATTTATACTCCACGTTGGATCGGTGGATGACATCACTAACACGACTTAATTAATTAGAATAAAGATTAAAGCAGCATGTTTGGATTTATCTTGATTATGTTTAAAGCAAGTTGACTTATTTAATACAAATGATTAATTAGGTTGAGTTTGGATCTACATAATCCCAACAATTAAATTCTATTTATCGATTTGTTTATAATTCAATTGCTTTTAATCAAGGTCACATTCAGCTCATCACATCACATGTGCATATATATCTTTGACAATCTTATTTTGATATGGTACAAACACATCCAGCAATAAAATAAATAATCACCTTGCTTACAAGATTATTATGATTTGATGAAGTATAAAAGTCGAATAATAATTTCTTACCCTTTTCATCATTGTTCTATTTCAGACACCATTGATGATCTCTTGCAATATCAAACTCCATCATAACTGCTACTTAATTAGTTTAATTACCAAACAGTTTATTTGCTCTTAATGTATTGTCAATAATCTTCTAAATTTGATTAAACTTCAATATCACGGATCCAATAAAAATAAAATATTGTGGTATGTATACACATAATTAACCATATATATATGTGTGTGTGTGTGTTGTGAATGATTTTTTTCGCAGTCTGATTTGCGCCAACTGTCCGGAGACCATGACAAAATCGAGCGACCAAGATTGCCTATGTGTCACCCAATCAGTCGATAGCTTAACCAGTGAACTTATCAATCATTAAGTATGATTGTTCTAACTTAAGCATGGGAGGGTGTTGACTTAGATTCAGATTACGAGAGATTATGTGTATAATCCACCCCATAATCTATCAATTCTTAACCACTGCCAGAACACTAGTATAAGAGGGGGATGCCACCTCTAATTAAGGGGTCCAAAAAAAAGTTAACCCTGTAAAAAAGAAAGAAAAGTCTGCTTAGTAGAGCATTATTAGCTCGCTGAAGCATTATCAGTTCACCACTGCATTATTCTTCTTATAATCACCCCATTTTCAACCCAAAATAATAATATAACAGTGGGTGTAGGCTTGGTTTTACCCTGTCAAACTAATTTAAAAATCTTCTTGTGTTGTTATTATTCGGTTTGGTATTATATACTTACTGATTTTAATTAATCACGCATACATCCTATTCAATCTCGCCCTATTTAGTATTTATGGTTATTGTGGATATTCGTAACCAAAAAAAAAAAAAAAAAAAATCATATATATGTATCTCACATTTAAGAATTGTTTTATCGTCTTCTTATAGGAGCAAAATTTCTACCTCCCTCAAAAGTCTATGCCTTATTTCTCCATTTGAATTCATCCCCAAATGCAAACAAAAAGGGAAATTGTGAAGCAATTGAACAAGATAACAAACGAAAGTGTACTAGCTGCCTACCATTTTCCAAAATTTTCAAAGTACAGTAGGCCGATCCAATTATAATAATGATTTTTTTATTATTTTTTTTTTTTTAGGTATGTACATGTACCAGACCCATATTACAAAATGCTTTCTACCTAATAAGCACAAAATCAGAAAGCAAAAAAATAAAAAATAAAAAATAGTTCATGTGTTCAGTTTCACATTTTTCTGGTTCATGATTCGTGCAATAATATGCGGAAATAATTTCTGAAATGTGAAAACCATTTACAGAAATTTGGATTAATGCACGTGTCCAGTTCAATGAGGGGACCAGAGCTTTAATGAGCAGTGAGCCGAGTCTCTTGTTTGATTAATTTTAGCTTCAACTAATTAAAATGGGATTAAAGTTCTATAGTTTAATTGCAATGAGTTGTCAGCCACAATTGAGTCAGTTGACTACCCACAGACTCTTCAGGCTTCTATTTTCAACTAGGTTTTGTACTTTTTTGCTGGATAATTATCTTTTCTTTTTTGATACACAAGAAAATTCCAAGCATGTATATTAATAAAATGGAAAATTCGCTGGAAAATATTATATGGGGTAGTGCGACTTGGTGGAGGGCTGCTTAATTCAGCTATGGATAAATGTGGAAGGGGACAATTTCCATTTATTTAATTGAGAATCAGCCTGAAGCTGACATGGTCAAACCAAACGAATTTAAGAATTCAGAATGAGTTGCTTCATAATAATTAATGTGGCATAGCAATTTAATCCCTCAAAGATGAAGCAAATGATAATTGAATGATATACAAGATCAAAAAGGGATAGGCTTCGAACCATGATGACATATATAATTATAAAACCTGTTAGTTAATGAGAAAGATTAAAAGTATTGCACCAAATTCAGTAGTTTATAATACAGAATCCGATCATTTTTGTGAAAGTGTGTATTTTACTTAGTGCAGAAGAGTTCAAAACTGTATCAATTTAATTTATAAATTAAAAAAGAATAATTATTATTAAATCTGTGAGCTTTGTATGTTAGTAGAAGAGTTGCTTCCTGGACAAGAATTACTAAAAAATTTAGGTAACAAAATATATCCCTGATGGTACAAAAATAGAACATCGGAGATTTATATATAAATTAAGAATTTCAAAAACAAATAATGAGATTTAGAATAAGCTTGTCACCATAAATTGCATGGTTCTTTCTGACCACAACAAAGCGATGATCTGGAGGGCCTTCTAACCAACGAAGTCACCAATTAGGCAACGCTACTGAGACAGATATATAACCCATCAATAATGTCAAAGTTTACCCAGATGGCAACAAAGCTTTTGCCCCCACTTATACGTAATACGTACACGTTTTGGAAACTACATTCTAGACTGTGACTCATTATCTATCCGAATTGAATTTGCACCAAGTAGGTTTGTAATAAGCTTATAACCGTCCTGGAACCAGGAAAACAATAAGAGAACAAATGGTGCTGGGTCGAGTGACAGTCACCCAGCACTGCATATGAGAAAATAACTCATCACCATCCTTCCATGTGCACGCAGCTCCACCAAACACTCACTTTTTAGACTCTAGTTTACTGCCAGGTTATAAAGTTGATGGAGCACTGTACAAAATTTGCAACTTGCTACCGAAGAGTTAGTGACTGGTGACTCAGAACTGACTGTGACCCGGATCATTAGTTTGGATTCAATAAATCAAAAATCAACATTCCATTGAACAGAAAATCTTCGTAATTCGTAAAGATTTTCCTGCATTGTATAAAGGTATTTTTCCAGGCGGCCATAATAGAAGAACATGCCAGAAAAAAGAACATCATAATCCAATTAATTAAAGCAGTGTTATCTTCTTAGCGAAGATATAATAATAAAAAAATCAAACTAAAAGTCACCTTTAATAGGCATTCACAAAGCAATACAACTTGATTACAAAGAAATAGTTGAAAATAAGAGAGAGATAGACATATCATATTTTTCGGGGTGGCCTGCCTTGATTACAAAGAAGTAGGGCCTGCCGCAATAATTGTGAAAGCAAGTCAAGAGAGACGGCTTTGATTCCAGTTTCTCCTGGCGTCGTAAGAATCAGCACCACCACAAAACCCATCTCCACACTAAACGCTCAAGAATGGACAATGTGTAAGAAATTTATCTGTAATCCATACAAAAATACAAAGAATATAATATTCTTAAACTATAAACCAGGAATTAAGAATTACCTCCAACCATTGAAACAAACTCACGCAGCTGTATTTTGGCTCTTCTAAGCTCTCAAGACACTCTAATATTGATGGTGATTTTTCAGTATAATCGAGTTCTTGAGCTTAGGGATCAAAATAATATACATAGTCAAGCTTCCATCAAGCTCTTAATGGCATTGCTTAATGGTTGCCATAAATTCCAAACGTTTGAAAACTAAAGCATTTGAAAACTGAACAACAAACGTGGACCATCAACTTTAAAACTGATGAAAATCAAAACGTTATTTACGTTACATGAGTAACGTAAGTTTTACATTCTCCCACTTGGTCCAAATTTTTAACCATTATTTCATGAAGAAACAAATACACGAATCATGGCGACAAGTCCTCAAAATAAAACGAGTATTATCTTCCATGTATTACAATGCATTTGATTTCTCAAGTTTACTTTATATATATCAACCTTACTTAATGAATAAACCATATGTTTATTCTTGGTCTTACAGATGAATTTTCTCAAAAGAAATTAAGGTGCACATGAATATGAGAAAACATCACAGTAAATAAGACTTTTATTCAAACATTATATATACAACTACATAGTAGAATGAAGTCCCATTTCTTCTACATGATCCTTGAATTTCATTGGTGGCATGCCTTTGGTCAAAGGATCAGCGATCATCAATTCAGTACTTATGTGCTCAATGACCGCTTTCTTTTCCTTAATACGCTCTCTTATGACTAAGTACTTAATGTCAATATGTTTACTTCGACTTCGACTTTTATTGTTCTTAGCCATAAAGACAGCAGCTGAATTATCGCAGTATATTCTCAATGGTTTAGAAATGGAATCTATAATTTTAAGCCCAGATATGAAACTCTTTAACCATACACCATGTGAAGTAGCCTCAAAACAAGAAACGAACTCAGCTTCCATAGTGGAAGTAGCAGTCAAGGACTGCTTTACACTTCTTCAAGATGCAGCTCCACCAACCATTATGAAAACATATCCTGATGTTGATTTGCGTGAATCAACACAACTAGCAAAGTCTGAATCTGAATAGCTAATTACTTCCAGATTGTCCGTTTGTCTATACATAAGCATGTAGTTTTTGGTTCCTTGAAGGTACCTTGTCACTTTCTTTGCACCTCTCTAGTGTTTTAAAGCTGGATTACTTTGATATCGCCCTAACATTCCAACAACAAATGCAATGTCAGGCCTTGTACAGACCTGAGCATACATCAGGCTTCCGACAGCAGAAGCATATGGAATGTTCTTCATTTGTTCCCTTTCAAAATCGTTCTTTGGGTATTGGTTCAAATTGAAATTATCACCCTTCACAACGGGAGC